TATCTATCTATCTATCTATCTATCTCTCTGTATGTTTCTGTCTTTTATATTTCCTGATATACATCAATCTTTTTCTATCTATCTATCTCTATCTATCTATCTATCTATCTATCTATCTATCTCTGTATGTTTTCTTTATATATTTCCTGATATACATCAATCTTTTTCTCATCTATCTATCTATCTATCTATCATCTCTGTATTGTTTATCTCTGTGTCTTTTATATTTCCTGATATACATCAATCTTTTCTCTATCTATCTATCTATCTATCTATCTATCTATCTATCTATCTATCTCTATCTATCTCTGTATGTTTCTGTCTTTTATATTTCCTGATATACATCAATCTTTTTCTATCTATCTATCTATCTATCTCTCTATCTTTCTATCTTCTATATTTCCTGTTTACATCTTTCTTTTCTATCTATCTATCTTTCTATCTATCTAATCTATCTATCTATCTCTATCTCTGTATGTTTCTGTCTTTTATATTTCTTCTAATCTTTTCTATCTATCTATCTATCTATCTATCTATCTATCTATCTATCTATCTCTGTATGTTTCTGTCTTTTATATTTCCTGATAATCAATCTTTTCTATCTATCTATCTATCTATCTATCTATCTATCTATCTATCTATCTCTCTGTATGTTTCTGTCTTTTATATTTCCTGATATACATCAATCTTTTTCTATCTATCTATCTATCATCTATCTATCTATCTATCTATCTATCTCTCTATGTTTCTGTCTTTTATATTTCCTGATATACATCAATCTTTTTCTATCTATCAGTATCTATCTATCTATCTATCTATCCTATCTATCTATCTCTGTATGTTTCTGTCTTTTATATTTCTTATATTTCAATCTTTTTTCAATCTATTTATCTATCTATCTATCTATCTATCTATCTATCTATTCTATCTATCTTTCTCTGTATGTTTCTGTCTTTTTATATTTTCTGTATAAATCAATCTTTTTCTATCTTTTATCATCTATCTATCTATCTATCTATCTATCTATCTATCTATCTCTGTATGTTTCTGTCTTTTTATATTTCCTGATATACATCAATCTTTTCTATCTATCTATCTATATCTATCTATCTCTATCTATCTATCTATCTATCTCTGTATGTTTCTGTCTTTTATATTTCCTGATATACATCAATCTTTTCTATCTATCTATCTATCTATCTTTCTACCTGTCTATCTATCTATCTATCTATCTATCTCTATTTCATTTTATATTTCATAATCTATATCTATCTATCTTCTTCTATCTGTCATCTCTGTATGTTTCTGTCATTTATATTTCCTGATATACATCAATCTTTTATCTATCTATCTATCTATCTATCTATCTATCTATCTATCTATCTCTCTATGTTTCTATTTATATTTCCTGATATACATCAATCTTTTTCTATCTATCTATCTATCTATCTATCTATCTATCTATCTATCTATCTATCTCTGTATGTTTCTGTCTTTTTATATTTCCTGTATACATCAATCTTTTTCTATTATCTATCTATCTATCTATCTATCTATCTATCTATCTCTATCTATCTCTGTATGTTTCTGTCTTTTATATTTTCTGATATACATCAATCTTTTCTATCTATCTATCTATCTATCTATCTATCTATCTATCTATCTATCTCTGTATGTTTCTGTTTTTATTTCTGTACATCAATCTTTTTTATCTATATCTATCTATCTATCTATCTATCTATCTATCTATCTATCTCTGTGTTTCTGTTTTTATATTTCTGATATACATCAATTTTTCTATCTATCTATCTATCTATCTATCTATCTATCTATCTATCTATCTATCTATCTATCTATCTATATCTATCTCAATATGTTTCTGTCTTTTATATTTCCTGATACATCAATCTTTTCTTATCTATCTATCTATCTATCTATCTATCTATCTATCTATCTATCTATCTATCTCTGTATGTTTCTGTCTTTTATATTTCCTGATATACATCAATCTTTTCTATCTATCTATCTATCTATCTATCTATCTCTCTATTTTCTGTCTAATTTCTGATAAGATCAATCTTTTCTATATCTATATTTATATCTATCTCTGTATCCATCATATCCTATCTATCTATCTATCTATCTCTATCTTGTTTTCTATCTTTTCTATCTATCTATCTATCTATCTATCTATCTATCTATCTATCTATCTATCTCTGTATGTTTCTGTCTTTTTAAATTCCTGATATACATCAATCTTTTATCAAATCTATCTATCTATCTATCTATCTATCTATCTCTGTATGTCTTTTTTTTATGGACTATTATTCAATCTATCTATCTATCTATCTCTATCTGTCTGTCTATCTATCTATCTCCTGATCTTTTTATATTTCTGTATTCATCTTTTCTATCTTCTATCTATCTATCTATCTATCTATCTATCTATCTATCTATCTATCTCTGTATGTTTCTGTCTTTTTTATATTTCTGATATAAA